GCCGCGCCGGGGCTCCACCCCGCCAGGCCGCCGACCTCGTACTGCCGCCGCTGCTGCCGCGCCAGCTCCTCCAGCGGCGTGCCCAGCCCGCACTGCCCCTCCTTGTTCTCTCCTGTTGCCCAGGCCTGGCCGCTGGAGTCCAGAAAGAGGGTATGGTGGCGCCCGAGGGCCGCCGCCACCACATGCACCCGCCCCGCCAGCGACTCCACACAGTGCGGCACGTGCGCGCTGTCTGCAGGGCGGGCAGCGGCGCGGCGGGGCGGCGGCGGGGACGTCAGCAGGCAGCAGCGGCGGCGGGGAAGGGCGGGGGACAGCGCCCGCAGCTGCAAGGGCCCGCGCCAGGGCCAGGCAAGCAGGCGGCAAGGAGCCTCTGCTGCCCGGCGGTGGCGAGGCAGCGCGTGGCAGCAGCGCGGGAAGCATCGCAGGCGGCCAGCTCAGCTGCGCCACCCACCGACGCAGCCGTGGCCCAGCTTGCCGTGCAGTCCCTCCCCCCAGGTCAGCACCTCGCCGCCGCGCAGCACCCCTGCGCTGTGCGTCTTGCCCGCGGTCAGCGAGGCCACGGGCAGGCCTGCCAACGCCTCGACTTCGCGCGCTTGCAGCAGCAGCGGCAGCGCGGCCGACACGCCGCACTGGAACTCGGTGTTGCGCCCCCTGCGGCAGGGTCGGCGGCGCGGCGCAGGGTCGGCGGCGCGGCAGCTGAGCACGCGGCGGCCCGACTGACGGGGCAGCAGACAGTGGCGGCGGCATGGGCGACTACAAGCGCTGCTCCCCTCCGCTCGTGCGGTGCGATCCATCCCAGCCATTGCAACCGAATGCCTGTAGCAGCCACTCACCAGGCCACCACGCTGTAGCTGCGCCCCAGGCCGGCGTGCGCTGCGAGGGCTCTCCGCAATGGGCCCCGCATAGCCGCCCCCCAAGCAACCAGCGGATTAGGGCCTGAGGCGGAGGTTTCAGGACCGGTGGGCAGGCTCTTCAGACGACGCAGGCCCACGGAGATGCAGATGGGCTCCAGTGGCGGCGCACAGGCCCAGTTGATTCCTGCACCTCGCTCACGAGTCGAGAAAGACGAGCGTTGGCGTGCGTGGCAAGCACAAATGCGGTACGCAGCGCAGGTACACCGCCGCGGACGCCGCCCCAGCGTCGCACTTACAGTGCGGTCTCAGGCTAGGATCCCGACTGACTGCAGTACCTCCCACATAGCTCACCATCGTTGGAGGTCATCCTTCTGCCTTGGGCCTGGCCTGGTGCATGCAGCAGTAGGTGCCACGCATCCGGGGCACCATCAGATGGTGAGCCGCTCTCAGCAGTGGTTTGTTGGTGCTGTGCTCTTGTGGCTTCCACTTGTCTATTAGAAAATGTGTGCATCGAAGATTGCATGGTTCGAGTGCAAGATGGAGCAGGGCGATGTGGGCGGGTCGCGGCCATCCCGGCTGCGGTGCCCAGGCGGGTCGGCCGCCAGCCTGGCAGGGATGTCCCGTGCCGTTTGGCCGGCGGCGTCATAGGCAGGCGCCACGCCAGGGATGCCGCTGCTCTGCCACATGCCGGGCTGGCAGGCAGGTTGGGGAATGCATTTTGTGGGGTGGGCGGGGTGGGGCACGCGGCGGGCGGTGCATTGCAACCTGCGTTGGTGAGCGGGTGGGCAAACGGCGCAGCGCTCGAGGGCAAAACGCCCACTGGGCCCCGGCGCCCTAGCGGCGCCCCCGCCAGCCCCTAGAGCCCTTGCGTGGCCGCCGCCACCAGCTGGCCCAGGTCTGCGTGGGCCGAGGTGGCTGGGTCGTAGTGAGCCCACAGCAGGCGGGGCCCCTCAAACACGAGCACGCCGCCCTGGAAGAAAGCCTGCTCGGTGCGGGGGGGCATCAGCGGCTTGTAGGACTGCAGCGGCAGCAGGGCGCGGCGGCGCCAGTGTGTCAGCAGGGCAGCAGCAGCAGCAGCAGCAGCACGGTGCCTGGGGCAGCCAGCTGGCGGCCAGCAGCAGTAGGGGCAGTAAGGAGCATGGCTAGGGATGGCATGCGGCTAGGGAACAAACCAACACCGACAAAGGCGCGGCACCGCTATCCTGCCCTTCCATCACCACCAACAGAGAAGGGGGCACACACACATGCTACCGCCACCAGCCCTCCCCCTGCCACCAAACAGCACGCCCCACACTCGCGCCCCGCAGCTGGCAGCCACCGCCCCACCTACCTTCAGCACTTGCTTCAAATCGGCATCGCCGCCGTCCCGCATGCGCGCCTTGATGGCTGCGGGGGTGGCGGGGTCAAAAAAGGTTGCCCTCAGGCCGCGCCGGAACTGCAGCACCTCGTAGCAGGCGTTCTCCGGATCTGCAAGCAGCCGGTCTGGCGGGAAGCCGGTCTGGCTGGCAAAATCTACACCGCTCTGCGGCAGGGCAGGCCGAGGGCGGGGGGAGGCCGAGGCGAGGAGGTGAGTGGGGCTGGAGACACGCGAGGCGGAGACGAGGAAGGGAACGAGGGCTTGACGCAACGTGATTCTCGGAGCTGCATCCAAGCAGCAGCTTGTCTCCGCCGTCCCGCTTCGGCTGGCGCTGGCTGGCCCGGCCCCATTTGTCCCGCTGCCGCTGCTGGCGGCGGCGGCGGCGCTGACCTGGGGAGTGCCGATGGTGACGAGGTAGAGCTTGACTGAGGCTGCGTCGAGAGCTGGCATGACGTCGCGGTGCAACTGCCGCGCCAACTCCCAGCAGAACAGTCAGCCTGCGGGGGAGGGCGCGAGGGAAGCGGCACAGCGGGCGCGGGCGGCACGGTGCTGCGGATGAAGGGATGCACAGCCGAGTCGCAGAGGCAACCCTGGGTCGGCTCATGCTGCAAGCCCTCGTGCATTTTCCGCATGCATGCCACAGGCTTGCAGGCCTGTTCACACCAGCTGCTGCTGCCAAGGCAGGCAAGCTCACCCATGTGCCGGCCAAAGACGAGGACCGCCCGCTCCTGCTGGCCCCACAGAGAAGTGACCTCCACTGCCTCCTGTGTGGACACCAGATAGGCCTGCTGGCCGCGCAGCTGCTCATACGCAGCCCCCAGGTCCACCCCAGCGGGCGGAGGGCAGGGGGAGGCTGCTGCTGACGCCCGCAGTGCGGCGGCGGCCCGGCCGCCCACAGCCGGCCCAGCCGCTGGGCGCGCGATCGGGCGCAGCAGTGACGGCATCAGGTGAGACCCGTTACGTCTGCTGGGGAGCCCCAGCGCCGGCCTCGATGGCGCGGAGGAGAGGCTGGTGAACGCCATGGGCGGCTAGGGCGCTGCGCAAGTGCCACAGAATTGCGACTTCGTCGCCGAACCGACGCTTGATTGAGGAACGAATGGCTGTGTGTGCCTGTTGGTCCATGCCCCGCACGCTGCAGTCGTCGCCGCCACGCACACACTTGCATTTGCATGCAATTTGCAGTGCAGCCCGCGGCATGCCTGCGTTGGGGTGACATTTATGTTCTGTCTCCTTGGGTCCCTTTATTGTAACCACTCTACAGGCACAGCCTCACAAGCAGCAGCCTAGCCGCAACGGCCACAGTACCGGCTCGCGGCCGGTGCCGGTGTGCACAACGGCTGCCGCAGGATCGTTTGGGCAATGTGTATACCCTGCCTGGGGCTGCACTGGCTAGGGTGAAGCGTCCTACACTCTCTCAGCCACGTGCTGCGCCACCTGCTAGGGGCAGAGGCCCCTCCCAAGACGCCGCCGACCAGTGGCCACATGACGACCCGCGGGTGCCGAATGCGAGCCTGTCCCTGTACTGCAGGGGTGCCTGGCAGGCGAGCCTAAGCTGGCTGCATACGCTGTATAGCCAACACCAGGCCTGCCGCTTGTTGCGCCAAAGCACCCCACTGTCCGGGAGCTCGCAAAGGCTTCCGTCCAAAACAGAGCGAGCTCTTTGCAGCCCGAGCGGCAGGCAGCGCGAGTAGGACCGCGGCTGCTCCAGCCCGCCGTCCATCGGGTGCGACCTGTGGCCGCCGCGCCGCCGCCGCCCAGCTCCTGCGGCCGGCTCCCTGCCACATCCCCGCTCCTCTCTGCAGCCGCCGACCCGGGCAGCCCGCCTCTGATGCAGGCCAGGCCAGGGGCAAGGTCCAGGCGCACACCACCACATGCCTCCCTCCATACCCGGCTGGTCCACGCTGGATGCGGCGCTGGCGGCGTGGTGGGCGGTGGAAGACCGGGTGCCCATCCTGCTGGTCGGCACGCTGCACATCAGCTGGCTCGCCCTCTCCTACCGCCTGCTGCTGCCCCGCGAGCTGGCCGCGGTGCTGGCACTGATCGCGCTGGAGGCGGCCGTGGTCTGCCTGAGCGCCCTGCGCCCCGCCGCGTACCTCCGCCACCGCCTGCCGCTCGTCGCCGGCATCCGCGCCCTGTCGGGCGCCTTCCCGCTGCTGGTGGATGTGTCGCGGCTGGCCGGCAGGGCCGCCGCAGGCTGCGCCGACGTCCCTGGCGGCGGCGCCGGCGCCTGCGCCGCGCCCGAGGAGGCAGGCGACGCGTCGAGCCTGCTGCGCGCGCTGGGCCTCCTGCTGCTGCCCGTCGCCTGGCTGCACTCCTGCCTGCTGGCCCCCATCTCCATCCACCTGCCGCCGTTGGCGCACGTGGTGGTGCACACAGCCACGGTGGTGCTTCTCATGCGGCGGGCAACCACAGGTGGGCGCCAGGCTGGGCGCCGTGCTGGTGGCGCGGCCGGCCATGCGTGTGCTCCACCAGTGTGGGGTGCTCTGCTCGCCTGCTTGCCCTCGGGGTGTTCTGCTCGCCTCGCTGCATGGCAGCGGCAGGGCGCTGGTGCGTGCTGCAGCGGCGGCAGCACCCCTGTGGCCTTCCTGGGGGCAGGCCTGGCTGCGCAGGCCCTGGCCGCAGGTGCTTGCAGCAGCGCAACTGACGCCGCGCTCGCTGCCTGCCACCCTTGCCGCAGCCTGCCGGCAGTACGCCGCCCAGCACCCCGCCAATGCGCGGCTGGCTGGCGGCGTGCATTGGGTGATGAGGCAGGCGGTCTCGCTGCTGTGCCCGGGGACGCGAGAGCACCTGGCGGCGGCGGCGGGCGTCGCTGGCGCCGCGCAGCAGTGCACCGCCGTCGTCTGGGCCCTGCAGGCGAGCGCTGCCGCCGTGCTGGGCCGCGCTTTGATCTGCGCCCGCGCGCAAGCCGTGCCCGCTGTCCCTCGCCCTGCCCCTGCTTGTATGCCATGCTGGCACAGGCACAGCCGTTACATGCAACGCGATGCCTAAGAAAAGAAGTGGATTAACTGCGGATAATTCTACTGGGCTGGTCGCCTGCCTATGCCAACGGAACCGCCGCAACCCGCCTGCCCTGCGCCCTGCCCCCTGCAGGCCTCCCTGGGCTTTGTGCTGCCCACGCTGCTGTGCTGGCGCGCCCAGCTGCGCGACGTGCGGCGCCACGAGGCGCAGCAGGAGCAGCGGTGGCTGGCGGCGCAGCGCCAGCGCCAGGTGGCCGACGCCGACGGGCTGCCCGGCACGCCGCGCTCGCCCCGGCGGCGCCGCCAGGACTGGGGCCCTCCCCCGCAGGTGGACTGCAGCTTCACCAGCAGCCAGTACCGCCAGATGTGCGAGCCGATACTGGCCCTGGGCGCCACCGTGGGCTGGCCGGTGCTGGTGGTGGGGGCGGGGCTGGCGGCCTGGGTGGCCGCCACCGTGCGCAGCTCGCACCTGCACCGGCCGTAGCCGGCCCAGCGGCACACTCTGCCGGCATTGTGCAAAACTACTTACAAAGTTCAATGTTTTTATCACTGTGTTTTGTAACTTCCAATTTTCGATGCATACGCGAAGCTGTAGTGACGGAAGATCCTCATCAGACTTTGAAGGCCAGTAGTCCCAGCAGGGTGCCGCCTGGACGCCGCTCTGCCACCGCATGGCGCGGACCGCACCAGCAACGCATCTGGATGCCTCTTCGAGATCAGGACCCATTTACGTTGACAGGGGCCATTTGCGTCACCAAATCCCGGTTGCAGCACGCTTGGACGCAGGCATGCGGAGATGTCGACCGGGAAGACCGGCTGCCCGGAGGTACCAATGTGCATTCCGCCTCTTCATCGCCTCGGCAGTATCGGAGGGATGGCAAGAGGGCTGTGGGTGGCAGGGGGGCGGCAAGAAAGCGGCGGCCAACTCAGCGCTGAGGCCATGATATTGCACCACCGCATTGCGCCATCGCCCCCGCCATCGCAGTCTACCCCAGCCGCTCGAAGTGTCGGACGCCTTGCATCGCCCCCAGCTATGGCATCCGCTGTTGCAGCCACCACCAGCTGTGTGGCCCGGCCGGTGGCCTGCGTCTCGGCCGCCAAGCGCTCCTCCTTCTTCGCCGGCACCGCCAGGCTCTCCGTCCCCCGCGCCCAGAGCGGCGCCCTGGTGTCCGCCCGCGCCCGCAAGGCCGCCACCGTCGAGGCCCGCTCCACCGGCCGCGGCGGCCAGCAAATCACTGTCGATGTAGAGAAGCCGCTGGGCCTGGTGCGGAGATTGCCTGCCAGCGCCGGCAGCGCATGAAGCGGGGGCTGCATCATCGACCCTCGGAGGGCATCGCCGCTCCCGTCCCTGCCGCCGCCGCCGCCGCCGCCGCCGTCCTGTGCAACCAGCCTACCCTCCCTTGCGCAGGTGCTGGACCAGAGCAAGAGCCCCAAGGGCGGCCTGGTGGTCAAGTCTGTCAGCGGGAACGCAGCCAAGGCAAGCCGCGGCGGCGCTGCGCCCGCCATCTGGCTGGCGGCTGACGGCGGCCCGCCCTCAATGCATGCTGCCTGCCTGCCTGCCTGCTGCCCAGGCCTGCCCCATGCTGCCTGCACGGCTGGCAATCCTAAGCCCGTCTGCCCTCTCCAGCAGCAGCAGCCGCTCCCCTGCCCTGCCTGCCCTGCCACCCCCGCTGCGCTGTCGCAGCGATGCCTCAGCCCTGCTTTCTTCCCATCCAAACCCTTCGCCTGGCCCCCCATGTCGGTCCCCCACATGTCCCCTGCTGTGTCCTTTCCTTTCTTCCTTTCTTGCTGCAGGCCGGCATCTCTGTGGGAGACACAGTCATCTACACCTCCTCATTCTTCGGAGACGAGCTGTGGGCTGCGGACAAGGTGGGGCCCATTTCCGATCTTTCTTTTGCAGCCGGGAGGGCGGTGGTGGGTCCGCTAAAGGCGGCTAGGTGGCGGCAAGTTTGGCGGCGGCGGGGAACGAGGAGGAGGCGGCGGCAGCGGCAGCCCAGCCTCCACCATCCCCACCCCACCTGTGCCTCCCTCACCGGCCCCGGACGGCCAGGGGTGGACAGCTAGGCCTGCCGGCCGCGGATTGGCCACAGCCGCCGTCCGCAGCCTGCCAGCCGCCCGACCCGCGCGCCCCACGCCCACATCCCGCCTGCTGTGCCTGCTGTGCCTGCCTGCTCCGCCTGCTTTGCAGCTGGGCTTCACGCGCTCCGCGCTGCAGGCCGCGCCCTCGCCGGTGTTTCTGGTGCTGGTGAAGGGGGCCAACGACAGCGTGGACGTGAAGAAGCTGCCCAAGAAGCCGGCGCCCGCCCGCTTTGGCCGCCGCCTGACCGCGGCGCAGAAGGCGCGGGCCACCCACCTCTGCGTCGACTGCGGCTACGTGAGCGGGGCTGGTGGGGCTGCCGTGGGCGTGTGCATGTGTGTCTGTATGTGTGTGTGTGTGTGTGTGTGTGTACGGGGTGCGCTGGGTGGCCGTAGCCATGGCTTTGTCGCTTTGTGGTGGCTGTGCGTGTGCGCGCGCGCGTGTGTGTGGAGGCCCTCCTTCCTCGCCGCCTCCCTGTGCACACCGGCCAACACCCGG